GGCTTCTGCAGCGTCTCGCTGAGCACGCTTTGCCCCGCGCCCCCCACGTTCCTATATTCGGGGCTCCCCTGCTGCACTGGGGTAGGGCAGAGCACCGGGTGCCCCTGCAGCATCTGCGTCGCCCTTCGGCATCCCCCACCGAGCTGATGTACCGATGCACTCCCTCGCCCAGGCTGATTTATGGAAGAAATAACCTGATCTGCACATTCACCCTGGTTTTGTGCTACAGGAGAACAGAGATTAGGGAAAGCAAAGCCAGCGACAGGGCTGGGAGCAGGAGCTGGGCCCGTCCTTGCTACTCCCCAGCTCCCGGCTCGGCTGAATGGGGACCATTGTCCACGAGCTGATGTACCGATGCACTCCCTCGCCCAGGCTGATTTATGGAAGAAATAACCTGATCTGCACATTCACCCTGGTTTTGTGCTACAGGAGAACAGAGATTAGGGAAAGCAAAGCCAGCGACAGGGCTGGGAGCAGGAGCTGGGCCCGTCCTTGCTACTCCCCAGCTCCCGGCTCGGCTGAATGGGGACCATTGTCCACGCACAGCCTCCGTTTTCTATGGTTTTTGTAGCTGGCAGATGCTCTGAAAGGGGCTCGCGGTGTCAGCCCAGCGCGGCGGGAAGGGGCGAGCCTGCGGTTCACGCACAGGGAAGCGAGAGCTTTCCCACCCTGCGAGTCGCTCCCCTCCCCCGGCCCTCCCTGCCCCGGCTCGCCCCGCGCATGAGGGGCAACAGCCCCAGAAGTGCTGGGAGGCAAAACCATGGGGCTGAGCCAGGGCAATGGGAACGGGGCAGGTTAAGGACATACATAGGAGCAGGGCAAAGGCCAGCGAAACCGCTGCCACGACTCCCTGCCAGCAGCCTCGGTGGAGAGGCTCCAACAGGCTGAACAGCACCTTCCTCCTGCAGGAGCCTTCAGCTTGCAGAGGAGGAGGAGGAGAGGTGGCTGGGGGGACAGATGCTGGCCCCTGCATGGCACTCACTCCCCTCCCGCTCACCCACGGGGGGATCCCAGCATCAGCCGCCCCACGCAGGGGCTGTCTGACCTTCCTCGCCAGGCAGAGACCGCCGCGGATCCGGATCCCAGACGAAACACAACCCCCTTCCTGCCAGCATCACAGCTTGTGGCGCGCGCATCCGCCCCAGCAAGCGGACCCCGGAGCCACGGCGCTCCGGGTGGCCCAGGACACCCCACAAAGCTGGGCTGCGTTTCCTTACAGGGCTCCTGCTCTGATCTAGGTCACGCCAGCCAGACACGTTACCATCGCCAAGGTTAGAAGTGACAAACGAGCCTAATGTGCAATTAGTTAGCAGTTATTTACTCCCCTGCATGCTCCGTTCAAGGTCAACAGACTCCGTATCTGCAAATGAAAAAACCAAGGCGAGATTTATAGGCCGCAGACAAGGCTGCTTGTCCTGAATAAACGACTGCACTGAATGCCGAAAACCATCTCCCTGCACCGTACCGGGCGGCAGCTTGCCCAGGGCTCCCATCTATAACCGACCTGACGAGATGCTATTCCACCGAAGCCCAGAAAATCCATCTGCTCCTTTTCAGCTCCGTTTGCACACAGCAGCAGCCGCCTACGCTGCCGACAAGGGCCAGACAACACCATTGCGAGGCCATTTCTCCTGCGAGGGAGCAGGCATGGGGCGGCAGGAGAGGTGCCACCAGGCAGCGCCTCGGGGGTGCACGCAGGAGAAAGGCAGCTGGGTGCTGCGCCACTGCGTCCCTCCCGCTCTGCCCCCAGACCATGCAGCTGGGTCCTCCAGGCGCTCATGCGGCAAAGTCACCAGCTGAGAACAGGGTCACACAGACCACGCCAGCTCCTGGAGGGAGCAGCTGACCCACTGCCAGCGTGGGAACTCGAGGGTCAGGGATTTCGGATGCTGTCCCTGCATTGACCCCACTATGGGGAAGCTGAGCGCTGGGTAACGCCGTGCAAAGCCACGGCATGAAGCAAAGCGCTCTCCTGCTTGGAGACCCCCAGCTCAGTTGCTAGTGCTCCAGCCTGGCGTGGCACGAACTGCTCTGCCAGCAGACGGTGCATCGGCACCAGGGCAGGGAGGCACCCACGGGTCCCCAAACGCTTTCCAACCCACTGCTGCCTCATGGCAGCAAACCCTGGAAGAGAGGGACCAGGCAAGCGCTGGCCAAGGCCTGGTGGGTGAGCTGCCGCCGAGCGGGGCACGGAGCAGTGCGGGCACACCCGCCACA